GATGATGCACATCAAGGAGTTGGATTCCCACATGGATGGGCTGCTCTGACCCAAAGGGCAGATGCCGTGGGCCCAAGCTGTGGCCAGGCTGGAGCACGCAGAGCTGGTAGGACAACACAGGTAGGAGCTGACTGTCACTGTTATCTGCTGGGGTTCCACATCCCACTGGAAATCAGGGGGCCAGTATTTGAGCAGGAACTGCATGTGCTGTCAGTTATGCTGTATGATTCCAAGGAGGAAAAAAAAGGAAAAAAATACAAAAATTAAATAAAAAATGCAAGCTGAAGATCCAGCCCAGGAAGGTCACTAGACAAGGCCCATTAATGCAGGGAGAGGGCACAGATACAATAGTAGAATGGCAGATTAGTTCTCTTTGTTCTGTCCCACAAACCTTACAGCTGAAACTTGAGGACTATCAAATCCTTTTAAAGCTTTTCTTTTCCAACCACCCTGAGGTTCCACTATTAGTAGCTATTACGTACTTGCCATTTGTATTTTGAATAATAAAGTCTAAATTGTAACTGTTCACAGAATATCAAAAGCAATTGAGATGGCACTGCTGTTCTTTTCTTATTTCTCCTATTGAAACCCATTTTGGACAACTTGCTCCTTCGCCCACTCGCCTGTTCAGCACCTCAGAGCTGGTTAAAGCACATGCTAATTGCAGGCTCTGGTCTGAAATAATGTGCGTGAGAGTCCCGTTCTGATGCTGGTGGCAGCTGATGCTGTATCACACTCCCGACCCTGGGGAAATCAGGCCTTGGTATCACTGGAAGTTTATTTCCACTTCCCAGTTCCTGCCCCCTGAATTTTAATTTGGCTTAAGTTGGCAGATGAATTTAAGATGTGGTTGTAGTTTCTGGTGAGCCGGGCTCGGCTGGGACAGCACGGAGGGAAGAGCCTGGGGCCGAAGCTCTTGCCCTCCATGGGCAAACCCGAGCTGGGTTATAACCCATGAGTGACTCACACACAGCCCAGCTGTGCACACTGGGCAGCACAAGCAGTGTAAGGCCTGGTAATAAGTATTTCAGGGCCTCAGCTGTACCTTCTGGGCCCTGAAAGCAAAGGAGGCATTCTGCAGCTCCCCACTTCCAAAGCTTCTGGTGCTGGTGTATCTGCTCTGTTATTAGTTCTTCTGTCCAGAGGGCATCCAGCCCTCCAGGAAACAAAGAGACCCTCTGACATTTAAGAGTAAGGCACAAGAAGGAAAGCTAATGAATGCCTTTAATACCTCCAGCCTACAAAGTCTCTGAAGAGACAGGCAGGTAACTGGAATTTTGCCCAAGAAAAACAAGCAGAAAACTGTAATAACTTTATTCCACAATACAGCCATTCCTGCTCCTAAAGTGTTTTCTGACATGTAAAAAACAGACAAGCATCAATCAGAGACTTGTCTAACGACACAGAACACATGGGACCGGCAGCTCCATCGGGTGTCCAGGGGCAGGAGAGGCTGGTCAGGATTATTGCTGCGTAAGGAATCAGGTCTTAAATCCTCAGCCATTGAGTGCCTGAATCTTTCAGGAGATTCTAGCACATACATGTAGTTAGACAATTTGCACCTGGAGAAAGCATGCCTCGGATTTTGCTGGAAATGTGATTAGACTAAACTTGTAGCTTTCCTTTTCTGAGCTTGCAGCTCTAAAGCCAGAGATGATGTGTACCAGGCAGGAACACTATGGGAGGATAATGAAATGGCTCTTGAGAGACATGGCAGTCTTACAGCTGCAGTGAGAATGGCTTCAGGGGAAATAAAAAAAAAAAAAAAGCATAAGCCTCCCAGATCACCTTGCTACTGCGATAATAAATGTCAAGTGTGTCCTTCCTGCAGCCCTCGGGCAAGAAACCCCAGAGAACAAATGCAAGGCTCATTCTGCTTCTGCTGAAAGCAACTGGGGTTCTGACACAGCCATGAACCAGGGCAGCTCCTAGACCTGGGCATTCATAAATACGAAATTCCGAGCAAAGAGCCAGTTCCTTGGAGAAATGCATACCAAATATGCAAATATTTCCTCCTGCAGAAGGAATTCTTTTCTCTGCCTGGGCTCTTTTGCTGCTGCTTACCGAGAGGATCTTCACTGGTCTCTTCAAGAGCCTCTGGCTGATGCAGTGTGAGCTGGGATGCCTACTCTGCTCCATGGCAAACAGACCCCAAAGTGGGAAAAGCCCAGCCTTTAAACTCTCATCAATGGTTTATTTGCCC